ATAAAAAATTTCATTTGGTAATATTTTTATTTGCTCTTTATGATGAATTAATATTTTTATTTGTTTCATTAAAATAATATTAAATCAATTTTTAATTATATTTTCAGTTTTATTATGCAATTTCAACTATACTAATATGTAAGTATTTTTAGTAAATAATCCAATCCTAATCCCGGGACCAGTCCCGGGATTTGGATAATGTAATCTTGAAATCCCGGGGATTGAAAATATGACACGGGATTGCAAACCCTACTTAACATGGAGAAAAAAATGAGCTGAGATGAGCAAATAAAACAGCAATTATGTAAATAATATTTTTGAATCTATCCTTCATGTGGGGGTTTGTGGTTACAAAATATATATTTTTCGCCTAATAAAAATTACATTATTTCTTAATATGTTCTCTCCTATTATTCACTATAAAATATAGATTTATTTATCGATGTAACTATTTTCTCAGTTACAAATAATATATATATAAAAATTCATATTAGTAAATAAACCATTTGGTAGTTTTCAACAATAGGATAGTAAACCATGAATAAAATAGTCTTTTTTCGGTTTAATTTGATCTTCAAATTAACATGATTTTAGTCACATATAGGACCTCATGATTTTGAACCTTATTAAGTGATAACTATAAACCCCCGTATGAGCTTTTTCCTATCTTTCCTAATTTCCAGATCAAACCGCATGAGGACGTAAAACCCTAGCTGAATTAAATGCGCAACAGCTCTATATTATTTAACATGAATGGAACACAGGCTGTAAACCTCGATTGGAAAATACCTGCAGTGAAATTCGAATATCATCTGCGCAGGGGCGTGTTAAAACTTCTTGAGGCCCTGGATCCCTACGCAAAAGTAGGCCCTGGGCCCCAACATAAATGTAGGCCCCACGTATGACCATTAAAAGTAGACAGTACATAACATACGTTGTCAAATACTCGTACAAACAGTAACCCGAAATAAATAGATGTACATGACTTACAATCACACAAACCGGCTCAACCAACTGTTGCCTTTTGACTGAATGCGTAAAGATGGTGTGTGGTGGTAGGCCTAGGCCTATATATGGAACGACGGTCATCACATGTAGACAGTTGACATATTATCCGAAATTCCCAGTTTTTCGAAGGATACAACAGGAAAAAATTTTTGACCGTTGAAATCATTCGAATTATTATCTTATGAAGGCTGAGGCGAGAAAGAGACGAGGCCCCCACTGTTGACAAAGCTCTGGGCTCAGGCCCAGTAGGCCCATGCCTTAAAATGTCCCTGCATCTGCAGAGAAATTCATAATCGAAAAATTTAAAATGACATTAAATCATAAAAACCAAGGAACACAATAAATGGCACATACATAATGGAATCAAGCCTTTATATTAAAATTAATTACATGATATTTATCTTGAAAAACTTACAATTCACACAGTGAAGTTAAGCATTAAAATTATGATTAATGAAATTGAAGTAATTATGACTTTTAATTGACTATATTGTTTGCACTTGAGGATCAAACGATTTCAAATGCTTAATGGTTTATAAACAACACTAAATAATTTTGTGTATTTTATTTTGGAGAATATTTTTTTCACATACATAACTAGTTCCGAAAGCGGAAAAAAGGCCACAAGAAAATTTATGCAACTGATCCAACTGGGTAAGTGGAAGACTCGTAAAAAACTCCAGTAATCACGAGTTTAAATATTTTACTTTTAATATATATATATATATATATATACACTACAAATTTATAATTTCTATTAGATGTCTTAGAGCAAGGAATTTCGAAAAAAGTTTGAAAAGTTTTGATGTGTTTGCAATTTCATCAAAATCTAAAAGACATGTAAAATTTATTTTTCAAGCACAGAAAGTTTCAATTGCAAAATCTACCAAAAATTCAATCTTCTTATTCACCAGTCAGTTCGATGAAAAGGTGGAATTTTCGAATTATTCGCAAATTTTCTTTTTGAAAATTTGGGCGGAATTCAAAACAGTAGTGTGCTAGTATGATGAGCTAGCTAGGTTTTTTTGCCCTTAGATTTAGTAGTCCTTTGAGAGACTAAAAAATTTGGAGACCCCTGATTTCGACAAAACTCCATACATGCAAGAATTGAAGAAAAGGAAGGATGGAATGACCAGGAGAAGGAAAATAATAGAGAAAGATCGTTAGGGCATTCCGATGGCGTGTCATCTGTATTCACTGAAGACAGAAAATCCCACTTGGAAAAATGTGAAAGATCTCTAGGATTCTCGGAGTAGGGACATAGCTACACGAGTATCAACCGTATCTATGATACGGGGTCCCCCAAATATATTTTAGCAAAAAAATCGTAGAATAATAAAGGGACCCAAATGAGAGCCCCCAAAAATTTTTAATACAGAGCCCACTCAGGACTAGCTACACCAGAGTCTTGAGGTCCTAAATACAGAACTTATCAAGAGAATTTAAATTCCTTAAGGACATTACTATTAAAGATTTTGGAGTTATATTTGATTTTAAATTTACTTTTCCCAGAAAAATAGGTTTTTCGCAGCGGTATTTTTCTGATGGTCGTTCATATATCACATGAATTTTATAATTTTCCCTCCTTGTTCTCTGAAAAGAAGTTGTAAGGTCAGTATTGGAATGCACAATCGACGTTCTCTTTATAATACTAGCTTTTATGCTGCCGAAAAAATCTGAACCGATTTTCAAGAATTTTTATCATAAAAACCTTTGTTTAGCTAATTGATCATAATATATATATATATTAAGATTTTCTTAAAATCTGGGACTCTGGTAGATGTTTTTATTATTATGGTTTCACTCTGGGGTTGTCATTAGTGGCTGCGGTAGCCAAGTGGTCTAGGCATCGGATCGTGGCTAGCCTGTCATGAGTTCGATCCCAGTACCACTGAAGACCCGCCGTGTAGGGGAGCAATGCACGTTAAATCTGTCGATAGCTCAAACGTCCTCCCGTTGGTGTGGTAGTTAGGAGAGGGGTGTCAGCTCAGGTGTCGTCCGCGTCACTTGACCATGGTTCAAAATTTCGCGGACCGTCCCCAAAAGCCCTCGTGTAGCTGAACATGGGACGTTAATATTCACTCCCTCCCTGGTTTTCACTTTTTAAAAAAAATAATCTATTTGATTTGTTAGAAAAACAAACTTTTTTTAGTCGCATCTCTAATTACATCAGCAAATTTTTCTGTTGCACAAAAAACCAAGGTTGTTCAAAGAAATTCTTAAACTTGAATATACTTTGAGTTTCGTAATAAATTCCATATTTTTGGGCATTTTTATATTTGATTTGTTTATTAAGATTGTTTTTCAAACATTATAATACGATTAATTTTATTGTGAGTATCTGGTTTTTAGGTTTTAATAAGTTTTTTTTCCATATTTTCTGCTTTTAAATTTTTTAAAATTTATTCATTATTGCATTTTAAATAATTTTACTGTTTGTGCATCTTATTTGCATACATTAAAAACCGATTTCCTTTTCTTTTTTTTTATTAAAAAAAATACATTTTAAGTAATGACCTTTTATGGGCTTTCAATCTTTACAGAGCCCCTATATGATCTCAGCTTAAGCATAATACAAATTCGCAGCCTGTATAATTTTTTTTAAATTTTAAGATGAAGCCAAAAGTTAGTTATTTAGTACATTTGATATAGATATTTTGTTGCTCAGTTGAATAAAACTGATTTTATTCTATTACATTTAAGTGTGAAATGAAATCTTACACATAATGATAATTTATATTTAAATAGCTATATCGGTCTTGCAAGTTATCTGATTTCTAAAAATCGATAAAAATATCCGGTAAGATAAACTGCAAAACAAATTAATTCATTTTTTGTTCATGATAACATTTGAGAACATATACTTTTATTAGCTCTTAACAGCATATTGAAAACTAAAGCCTTCCATTTATTCACTTTATCACTAAACTGAGGCCTGGGGTGGGATATTTGCAAGAGTTTCTGAATTCTACTCTTGATTCTGAATGCCAAATATTGAAATAACAGGTGAAACTGTATGGTTGAATAAAAGAGGGCAGATCATTCATGGAAAAAATTATTTAGAAACTTAAGAGAAGACAGAAAAAAAATATGTATAGTTTAAAATAAACTTAACTTTGGAAATCGACGATTTAAAACAAAAGTCATCAACGATAGATCTCGCATTTTTAAACTACGGTGGCATGATGAGGTTATTTAGGTTAAACTACCTCCCCCCTCTCATATTTTCAGCACTCTCTATTTATAGATATGATAAATTTAATTTAAGGAATAACATTTCTGTTTATTTTATCATATAAGAGGAATTAGAACTTGAATGTGTAACTTTGATGTAACTGGAGTTCGCGGCCCCTGAATACCCATTATTGCCTTAAAAGAATGTATCAAAGAAAATATTAACTAAGATCTCAAATATTCAATATTATGAGGTTAATTTCCAACAAGTCAATTGACTGCAGTAATTTAGTGGTCATGGGCACGGAACTCGTGGCCGCCGAGTCATGAATTTGAGCCCCGTGCTACTGAAGAAAGATGGAAGTTAAATCTATCGAAGCTCAAAGTCCTCCCTTGGCGTGGCGTACAAGTTCGGAGAGAGGCATGCTAACTCAGGTGTCGTCATCGTCGTTTTTCCATGTTTCAAAATTACAAGGTCAGCCGTCAAATATCTCTCGTGTTACTTTGTAGTGCGAAGTTAATAAACACTCTCTCATTTCAACAAGCCATAATGTAATTTTTATTCAATTTCGACTATAAGTTCACTCTCTCTATATATTTATGTATTTATCTTGTTCAAAATTTCAATCATTAATAAAATACTTTCTATTCATCCATTCAAATTCAAATACATTTTTTAAAACTTGTAGTGGATGACACTTGATGTTAATACAGTTTTTTCAAATATTAATTCATTAATTTAGTTACAAAATGAATAAATAGTAACAAACAAAAATAATAGTCCAACAGCATATATAGAAAGGACAACTGATCGTTGTGTCCCTGTAGCAGAATGGATAGCGCGTTGGATTTCTACTCCAAAGGTCTTTGGTTCGAAGCCCAACAGGGATGGCCTAACATCTCGGAATGTGATTTCTTTTTTACTATACTATTTTATTAGAATAATTAAATTTATAATCAATATATATATTTGTATAATTTGTAACTATTTAATGAAAATTAACTAAAATAAAATATCTCTTTGTTGACTGAGTAAGAATTGACTTAATTTTTTTTTATATTGCTTGTTAATTGAAGAAAGTAAAATCAGATTTTAATTCAGTTGTTTCTTTTTTAATATCTGTTCTTTTACTCTATTATGAGCATTAAAGTTCGTTTCCACAAAACTTTAAATATAGTCAGATTTTTCATCCCGAAACATCAAAGTTAGAGTCTCCACATTTTGTTTTTGATCTACATTTAATCTTCGAGAGACAAATCAGATTAGCAGTCAGTGGTGTAACGTACACCTCAGCATTGCGGGGGGAGTCCTAATATTCTTCGGTACCCCACTGTTAGCAGTTATTGTACGACAAGTAGAAAATTCAGATATTATGACGTTTGGTTATACGTTCAAAATCATTTTAACATGGCATAAATATACTTTCGAAAAACCCTAAAACCATATTTTCAATATTGTGCATGAAATTTTTTTTTCTTTTTAAATTTTCAATAAATAACCGAGAGAAGCAGTAGATACATACGAAAACAACCACGACACTTGGATTAAATATGACGAAAAATGATAAAAACAATTATACTCGTGTTTTGGGATTTGTATACGAAAAAAAAAAGCAATTCTACAGTTTTAGTAAAAAAAAAAAAATATTAAAAAACTAAAATATAATATGAGAGTGATATAATTTCGTACACTATATATGTGAAGTTTTTAATAACATATGAGTAAATTATTTTATTTAATCCAACGAATCTTCACTAGAATTTACCCGCCTTGTAGAGGGGCTGACATGTGTTAAATCTGACCAGCTCCAAGTCCTTCCATTGGCGTGGTGTAGTAGTTTGGAGAGGGATGTGCAAGCTCAGGCACCCTCCTCGTCACTTGACTGAGAATCAAAATTACGAGGTCCGTCGCCAATATAGTCCTCGTGTTACTTTGTGACGGGTCTATCCACGTCAATCTTTCATTAACCCTCTTGGGTAACTTTAGGGCCAGCAATTATTCTATTTCACAGCCTCCTCGGGAAAAACACGAGATAGTGATATGCTAATGAATTCGACTATACAAAGTCTAGATTTAGTAAGAAAGTAGAAGGATTGCCAAACTTGCCGTAAGTATCATCTACGGATCTCTCCAGCGAGCTTAGCACGTATTAGATAGTAATTGATATTGTTAATCATTGAAATAATCAAAGGGATTATAGTTAGTATCGACCTGAAGTTAGTAAGCGTGCGTCTCCTTTGTCAATTCTGATAGTTGAGATTATTTAGTGGGAATATTAGATTTAAAGGTTAGAATTGAATGTTAGAGTTGTGTATCAGGATTAATCTAGGGAATTGAATAATCACTCCAGGGTTTCTACTTATAGTGTAACTTGTTAATTGTATTTGTGTGTTGTTAATAAATATTTGTAATTATGGCTTTCGTTGGTGATAATGTTTCCTTCCACACCAGGCAATCCGGGCAATGTGAACCCAGTCCAAGATAGGACTGGGTCACGACAACTTGATAATACGGCCGGAATATAACGCTTTCACTCATTGGCTAGCTTTTGATATCGTACCACGAAAAAAAGGTAAACTTCATCTAAATGAGATAGAAATTTTTTTTCCCACGGTTGTGACAGAAGTCCATTTTTTTCCCTGACATCAGCTCACACATTTTTAAATTAATTATTAACACACTTTTATAAGTTTCACTTGTATGTAACGGAATCTTTGAACTCTATTTTTACCAACTTAAAAAGGTCAGATTAATTCGAAATTTTGCACACTTGTCAAGGACCGATGCCAATACAATAATTTCATAATTTTGTTCCATTGTTATGACCAGGATCATCAAGAATTACGATTTTCAGATTTGGCGACTGATTCCAGATTTAGCTACTGGAAGATTAAGGCGCAACCCTAAAAGCGAATATACTTCTAGTTAATTCAAACAAAAACAAAAAGTGTTCTGTATGGGAGAAAGAGGAATTTCGGAAATTTCTTACTATAATGTAAACAATTGTCTAGTTTTCCTGAAAATATTTTTTTTATATTTTTATAAAGCAATTCGTTTAAAAGGTGATAATACGATTAACACTTAATATTTCTTCTTAACACACTTTTATTAGTTTGAGCTGTATCTAAGAGACGGAAGCTTTGAAATTTAACGATACGGGACTCATCGGAGGTCCCGTCAACTGAGGGAATAAATCCCTCAGTCCCGTTAATTAATATCCATTCAAAGCAAGACTAATTCCAGCAGCCAATGGAGAGAATTCCGGCTCCAAATATCAAACTCAAGGATAAATTCAATAATGAATAAATGGTAGTTTAAAAAACTAAAAAAAACTTGATTTTATTGTAGATCGAACAACAAAATGAAAAATAAACTATAGTTAAAAAAAACTATAATTTAAGAAAAATGTTTGTTTAATTTATATGAATTCTGAATTGTGTGCGCTATATACAGTAATAACTTCAAAGTCTTATTCGTTAGTCATTAATCAGAAACAACGTAAAAATACAAATTTCTTTGCTCACAATATTTTTTTACACTTAAAAAAAACAACCCTCTATATTTTCTATTAACTTTGTACAACTTCACTAATAATTAAAAAGAAAAACATTAGGCTGATGTTAAGGAACATAAATAATATAAAGATAACACAATTTAATCATTAATAAGGGTATTAAATTACATATTCAAAGTATTAAAATCAACAAATATTTGGTATGAGCAATGATTTAAAAGAATGTATAAATTCATTACAAAATACGATTGGTTTTTTTTTCAATGATAAAAATAATATTAAGACTGTATATAATCAACGCAATTTCGAATTTCATCAACTTATACTGTGAAAAAAACTGGTTCAAAACGTTGTTCAAAATAGTAAAGCATTTTTTGTTTGGTAAGAAAACTAACACAAAATTATTTTTGAAATTTTTAAACGTCAGTTAAGAATGTACATATCATTACAATAATAAAATAAATCCCTTACGTTTACAAGGTCAACATTTGTTGAAACCTATTCGTATGTTTGAAATATTCTCTCTATTTATTACAACCGAATAAAAATTTACAATTCGAAGCCTTGAATTATTCGGGCAACAATTATTCGATGAATACTGAAATAACAAACCTATGAACGTCTTTTAAATAAATAAATATAAAAAAATTTTCAAAGCTTAATCCCATAAAACTTTGAGTGAGAAACGTCCACATAACTTATTTTATATAAAAAAATAAAATGCTTACAAAATATAATCTAAATTGTTCTGTCCATCGTTCATAATCTTTTTTTAAAAATTAAATGTGATTTCATTTTTTTAAAAATTACTATATAGTAGAAGAGCCTCATAATTTTGAGCTCAATTATACGATAAAATCATATAATGTTTTTTATCATCAGTAAGTATCCAATAAATTTGTAATAAATTCTTTTTTTCTCTCAACTTGGCCACAATCTATACAGTAATAATGTATATATTTAATTTCTTTTTAGGCAAATATTAATGTAAATAATTTTTAGCAAATTTTTTATTTTTTGTAAATTATTCTAAATTATACAAAAAAATATAAACATTAGCATGTTTGATATTCATTGTTAACAGGCAACTTAGAAATTCGCAAATAGAAATTATATGTATTCATAGTAAATGTGAACAATTTATTCGGAAAAAAAAATGTAACATTGAATTAGTTATTTTGATAACTCAACATTAGAAAATAACTTTTTATCTTGTAAAACATACAAATACTATCCATACATAAAATTATTATAGTCATAGCTACGTATTATGCGTAAAGAAACTTGTTGAATTCCCAACTTTTGAATCCGAAACCAAAACAACACTACATTTTTAAAATATAAAATAATCTGCATATTATCAAATTTCTTGTCTGTGAATAAACCTAAATTTAATTAAGAATTACAAACTTCAAAGTATACACACCAGTTACGAGAAGAAAAAGCAAGTTTTTCGAATACATTAAAAACAAAACAAAACCTGCAACAATCCCTATCATTCATATGGGTAGAACCGCGTCCGCATTCAGTTGAGCGCCCACCCGAAAAACTGAATAGGATAGTCTCCCTTCCTTTCGAGCGCAAATGACAATGAATCGAGTTCGATTCATATAACTGAGCAGTTGAAGATTGCACTTTTTGTGGAAAAAAAATTGTGATGGATCTTTACAAAATACTTCGGATTTTTTAAAAACTTTTAAAAAGAACGATCATTAACCTCTCTTTGAAATATTCTATCAAACAGAATCAGCCCTATTAGTGATACAAGGGATGAAATTGAACAGCAGCGCGGCTCTTGTACAATCAAAAACAATAATATTATTCTCTAGACTCTGATCTAAAGAATAACTAATTTCGTAGCATACACACTCTGGAGATTTTTCTATAATCATGAAATTTCGAAAAGTCGGTGATGATGGTTTGAAAAATTGTTTTTGATCTTTTTCGAGGAAACTCTTTACTTCGCGGAAGGAGACACGCTGCACTGCGGTCCGTTTCTTCTGTTGTTGAAGTTAAGGATACATACGTACGGTTTTGGATGGTTAGGCCTATGGAAAATTTGTGAGGGTTTTGAGAGTCGTGGCCACGTTTTTCATCCAAATCACCATAAAATGGGCCAAGATCAGATAAAAAACGATGGAAGGTAGCCACGAAGAGTAAGTCTAAATCTATAATTTTTTCATAATTTTTATGAAACTTCATTACTGAATAGGCTTAACGTACAAGCGACGCTCAGATGCATAACTTATGCCCTGTGGCTGTATTTTGATTTACTTCTAAAATGTTTTATTAAATTATGGAGAAATTTCTTCGGACTATTTTTAATTTTTTTAACCAGTAATATGTCTAAATTTTCATGTGTTACTAAATTTCAAT